AAGCAGGAGGCTCCTGAAGGTGGGGCTTGGCAACAGCCTTGAGAAACTGTCTGGGCCGTGGGTGTGGATAGAAACCGCCATGTGCACCCGATCTTAGTGGGGGGCCTGGAAACCGCCATGTGTGGCCTTTCCCCTGAGAAAGGGGACTGGAAACTGCCATTTGTAATAAATCCCAATGGAAGGGGGCTGGAACGGCCTTGTGTGACCTTTCCCAACTGAGGGAAGGCTGGAAACCACTGTGAGTGGTTCCTAATGGTGTTGAGAGACACCATGGCTCTGTCTACCACCCGATCTTAGTGGGGGGCCTGGAAACCGCCATGTGTGGCCTTTCCCCTGAGAAAGGGGACTGGAAACTGCCATTTGTAATAAATCCCAATGGAAGGGGGCTGGAACGGCCTTGTGTGACCTTTCCCAACTGAGGGAAGGCTGGAAACCACTGTGAGTGGTTCCTAATGGTGTTGAGAGACACCATGGCTCTGTCTACACTGCTTCTTTTGCCAGAAATATGCAAATAAGGCTAAGCATGGAATATCCCTGAGCCTCATTTGCATACCTAATGAGCCACCATTTTTACAGAAGAGGCTCTTGTGCTAGAAGGAGCTGGCTACACTGCCCCTTCTTGCACAACAAAAACCCTCTTGCGCAATGTCATTCTTCCTGAAAAGTAATCAGCGTAATGGCATTGCGCAAGAGGGTTTTTGTTGCGCGAGAAGGGGTAGTGTAGACAGCTCCCTCTGGCACAAGAGCCTCTTTTGCAAAAATGGTGGCTCATTAGGTATGCAGATGAGGCTCGGTGATATTCCATGCTTAGCCTCATTTGCATATTTCTGGGGCAAGAAGCCATGAGTGTAGACATAGCCCATTTGTGCCAATTCCCAGTGGCATCTAGACATCATTGTTCCCAATTGTGAGAAGGGATGGAAACCACCATATGTGACCATCCTGGTTGTCCCACATAGAGATTACGCAGAGCCTCTGCCTCAGTAGAGGAGTAGGCCCTGGATCTCACCCAGTGCATGCCTCACTGAGGTGGGTCACCAGAATACCACCAGGCACATGTGTCTCCATCAGAGGATCCTATAAACCACTGTGCTTACCTGTGGGGTGGGACTTGAAACAGCTATGCACACCTGGGAGATGGCAGATGGGAGATGGCTGTAGTGATGCAAGGGTAGCAGAGTTTGGGGTCCAGTCTTTCCTGATTGGGGGATGAGGGGCTTGGTAACCATTTACTGACCTGGAGTGGGGAGAGAAGTTTGGGTCCTGGAGCTGTCTAGGAAGGAACAGTGAGTGTCCCCTAGATGTAGGGCAGCCATGGACCTGAGCTGGGAGTAGCTGGGGGAGGGGGGGGGTGAAGCTGAGCCACCCTACTCGGGGATGGTGAGCTGTACCAGCTAGGGACCTCAAACAGGTCTCAATCAAAGGCGTAATCCCAGAGAGACATTTCATAGAATCATAGGACTGGAAGGGACCTCGAGAGGCCATCAAGTCCAGCCCCCTGCCCTCAAGGCAGGACCAAGCTCCGTCTACACCATCCCTGACAGATGTCTATCTAACCTGTTTTTAAATATCTCCAGAGAGGGAGATTCCACCACCTCCCTTGGCAATTTATTCCAATATTTGACCACCCTGACAGTTAGGAATTTTTTCCTAATGTCCGATCTAAACCTCCCTGGCTGCACTTTAAGCCCATTACTCCTTGTCCTGTCCTCAGAAACCAAGAGGAACATATTTTCTCCTTTCTCCTTGTGACACCCTTTTAGATATTTGAAAACCGCTATCATGTCTCCCATCCCCTGCCTGTGCCTGCCCTGTGCCCCAGAGATGGGGAGACACCTGTGAAATATGGGGATAGAGCTAAGTAACCCCTGAATAAAAGTCCATCTCTGCAGTCTTCTCTCACTTCTGCTTTCACAGTTGGTTGAGTAACTTCCGCCAGCACAAACCACAGCTGTCCCATTTCCAGGCATGGGGCAGGGCTCATGTAGAGCATGGGGGAGGGGGACGGGCCGGGCGTAGCAGGGTGCATGCAGGGCATAGGGGTGCTGCATGGGGCAGGACAAGGGGGAGCAGCCTTGAGCAGGGCCCAGGGGGATGGCAGGGACTGTGCAGGGTACTGGGGTCACTGCATGGCCCAGGGTGCCGCAAGATGCATTCAGGGCACGTGCAGGGGGGCTAGCTCCTCTTTGTGCTGTTCAAGGGGGACGGGCCGGGCGTAGCAGGGTGCATGCAGGGCATAGGGGTGCTGCATGGGGCAGGACAAGGGGGAGCAGCCTTGAGCAGGGCCCAGGGGGATGGCAGGGACTGTGCAGGGTACTGGGGTCACTGCATGGCCCAGGGTGCCGCAAGATGCATTCAGGGCACGTGCAGGGGGGCTAGCTCCTCTTTGTGCTGTTCA